GCCCTTTCGTTAATATATGCAAATACTTTAAAAGTCATTTAGCGTGTATATGTTCTTTATATTCTCACATATACTCGCATAAATACTCTACAATACTCGCATAAATTCTCCCAAGAACCGTTTCTCTTTGTTTTCTGTTCCGCGGGCGAACGAATCGGATTGTTTGTGAATCGCCTAAATATTTCAAAGCAATTTAATGAAAGTACACGAAATATACAAAGTAGTATACTATTTTACACCATGAAGGACGCACAAATTTATTGAATGTATCCGGTTCACGGAACATAAAAAAACGGACAGGATATAGTAGTTTACGTACACTGAACGATTCATATTTTCCACATTCCAGAGTGTGTAGAGTGTCATTTCCACCAAGGAGCGCTCCCTCAGAGCTTTTGGTATGGGGCAAAGAGTATATGGGGATTCTCTTCTGTGCGCGTTCCGTGGCGCATTCTGTTCTGTGCATTTGTGCATGGCGGACAACTAATGTGCCGGTTGTTTGCATTGTAAAATTACCACTGCAATTTGTATGTGTAGTACATATTTTTGATTGAGGCTCTGTCTAGAACGTCTCTCCAGCACAATGGTAATGTACATCACGTATTTATTCAAATTTGAAATTAAATTTGTACATACTGTGTTGGTGCAGTATTAGCCACAACGTTACGCATTCGTTCACGTACGAAAATTACCCGTTTATGGTTAAATACTTTTTTATTTCCTGAGTTAATGAATACATTATCTCATCTTTTTGCTTTTATAGTTTGTCACGAGTCATATAGTACTAAGAATGCCAAGTAGCAGCTGAGATGTGATTCATGGATACATTTTGCATACATCCCCAAAAAGTGCGACTTAAAATAAATATCTTGTGTTGTACATTGGCGTTTTATTTATTACGGTATTAGGTTAACATTAGTCGGATAAAATTGATTTAACCAACTCCGTTCATTGTTATTCGAATTGAACAATATTTGATGTGAAGAGTTTTCAAATTAAATCTTTGATTACAACAAAAAATTGATAATTCCTCTTTAGCTCTTGGATGATAAAAACTTGCTTGAGAAATAGGATGATTATCTACCCAATTTCAAATGCCCATATAATATTCACATTTAAAATATCCCTCTCTGTTTGTATTAAATAATGATTGGGGAGAGGTTTCCTGTTGTATTACAGAATCAAGTATGCTTTGGGTAAAGTGCCTGAAATGGGGTAGAGAAATTTATGAGCCAAATTTTGATTACGACTTCTTGAAATCATGAATGCGATGTCATCTTCAGATATCAAGTTCGGGAGCTTGGAAAAAGTGTGAGTTTATGGTTAACTATAAATGTTGAGTGCGAGCCCATGTGTTGGATTATTTAAGAAGGGCCATCCCATTAAAACTGCCCAATCTCTAAAACTTGCAGATATGGTCATACCTAGACTATGAAATGGCTGAAATCAAAATTTGGTGAACAAATTTCTCTAGAATTAAGTAAACTTAAACGAAGAGTAATTTACTATCTGATTGTTGCGAGTGCTGTTTTTGGTTTCATTAAATCATTTCCATGTTTCAGACTATCAGTAAGAATAATAAAATGTTGCAACACATCAACTACCGAGTCAGGATTATTTTGCAAGACTCGAGAACATTCATTGGAACTTTCAAAGGTAAACATCAAGGAAGGAATAAGATTTTCCCTCTGATAATCTAGCCTGTTAACTTTATTTTAAATGTCATTTAGTGTGTGGACACATCTGTTTGGTTATGTTTATGGATCTTGAACTTTGACTGGGCGGAAATGTAGTATATGGTACAACGTAAGGAAGTTGTTACTTCGCACCGTCGCGGTGTTACCTAGGCAATTAGAATTTTGAAGGCTTTCTTGAAAAGTGATGTCTTGTAAAAGTGAATTGGTAATTATACGTTGGATAGACTCGAGGATGTTTGTAGTGAACGTGAGGACCGAAGATCCAAGCCTCGCCGTGACTTGGACCCGATCGAACAAAGCAAGAAAACTTGCCTTTGTAAGTAAATTAGCGTTACAATGCGGCAGGGACAAAGCATATGGAGGGCAAACCATGAAAATCACCTATCCGTAAGTTTTATTCATTTCTATTAGGCACACACAGTAATTAGGGCTCAAGCCCAGCCGCTAAGCTTATTTAAGGGTGTATCATATACTAAACTTTAACCCTTTGACTGGTCTACTTGACTTTGTGATCTATAATTTAGTTCTGTATTTTGAAGTTAGCGTTGAATGTTTTAACTTCATTTTACACTCAAAGATAATGGGAGGGGAGGATGATTTAGAGTGGAAAAGGTCAATTCTGTCAAATGCCTCTCCGAATATACATACGCCATTCTGTAACTATAGGTATACAGAATGTGAGAGAACATGGAGGTTTATTCATAACATCTTTTGAAGTATTGGAGCAATTGTTCTAAAGGTTTTTGTGCAAACATTTTTGAAAAGCCATGTAAAAATTACATTGGGGTTGAATGTCCAAATGTTACCCCAAGTTCTAATACACAATATTTTTTTTAACAAATGCAATTTGGAATGCTTGGAATCATGGGGCAGGAGTGAGTGGTGTGACACTGGCAGGGCGATCAGAAATATTTACTTTCTCCCTACTGCTTGTGCAGGGAAGAGAATGTTATGTATAGCTGCACGAAAAAAATGGTGAATTTTTGGCAGAAATAATGGTAACGAAAAAATGGAAAAATACCCTTGATAAATTTATGCCAAAAACCACTAGTAGATGGTGAAGCCAGGATCCGTTTTGTGGGTCCTTGATACTGAATAATCGAATGACTGCAAAATGTCTGTTCATCTGTTTGTGAACATCGCTAATGGCTAAACTGTTTAGCTCATTTTTCCGAAATTGATATTCTCCAATCAATCTAGCTGATGTCTCAGACCCTGGAATTTGAAGAACCCAAGAATTTAATTTTGGGAGGTACTTCACATGAAGCCTTTGGGTCATTCAAAAAAAAAAAAATCCTTTGTTTGTTTGTTTTTTGGTTTAGTTTGGTAGTGTGAAGGATGTTTAAATATCATGTTAATTAAAATCGCTGGTTTTTTGAATAATGCGAAAGTAAAATTTTTTCAGTCCTCCTACAACTAAAACAAAAAAGGTGGATTTTTCTCTCATTTCAATCTGTTTCATAAGATAAATTTTTAATAAGATCATGTATGTATTTTTTTTAAATATTGGAGTAATTTTGCTCGAAAATACAGAGGAGGAAGTACAAGCTCTTTAGCACCATTAGTTAATAATTGTGATGATACCTAGATAATTTTGGGTAACCAGCTGGTATTGTATATTGTAGGCAACCTACAATACTTAATACCATAATTTAATTTCAACTATAATCTATTTTGATGTTGAATAACTCCAATGCTAAGAAGCATTTAAATCTTAGTTAATGATTCACACTATCACAGAATTCTTTGAAAAAAGTCTAGAAATTGTTTTTGATAGTAAAATAATAATTGTGATATTGTTTAAAATGTAGGCTACTTGATTGCATAAAGTTTTGTTGATTTATATTTGTATTGAATTTTTTTAAATACAATTCTCTTCAGTATTTTTCACAAACTTTATATTTAAACGATTAATATGCTTAGTGGAAGGAAAATTTGAAAGTAAGTTGATTGGTGTTGGCATGATTAGTAGGAATGACAGTAGGAACAGAATTTATTGTAATTGAAGATAAATAGTACATATTTAAGTATTTTTTCCAAAATATGTCAGAAAAAGTAGAAAATATGTGAAATAAAAATCCTTAATTTTATAATTTGAACACAAAACAGCTGCAAGCAGAATCTCTTTTAGAATGAAATAATTATATGTGTCATTGTCAACAATATTATTTATTAAAAAAGCAATTTTCGATGTCTTAGCAATCATTATCATCAGTTTTCTAGTACAAGAAGAAAAACAAAAACATTAAAACGTGAATATTTTTTTGATTTGACAACAAAATTGTAATAAAGGTTTTTAAAAAAATTTTTTACATTACATAATTTACAATTTTTGGAAAATATATTAAAGATTCTAAGAACTGAAAGAAAGAAAAAAGGGCAGTAAGTCATTTAATACTAAGGGAATGTGAATGAAATAGAATTAGAACTCATAAAATTTGAAACAGAAAACATGGAAATATAAGTTGAGCCATTCCTTACCTTCTGTATGGAAGCCACAAAAACGACTACCCGGGGTCGGGCAAGCGAAGGGTCCCGGTACCAAGTACCTGGCCCTGGGGTGGAGGACGGCAATTTGCCTGGGTTCGGTGCGCAGTCACTGCTGTGTGGGAGTAGTGTAATAATAATTTTAGTAGAGGAGAAGGGCTATGGTTTGTTGTCATTCAATAAGTTAGTATTTAAATGAATATGCAGGTTTTCTAAAGTTAATGTGGTGTGGTAGCGATTTTCTATTTCCAGTATACGAATGTCTGTGTGTGGATTGAATGTATGGCCTGTCTGGAGTAAGTGTTTGGCAAAGTGATGTTTACAGGTGTAGTTTCCAAGCGTGTATATGTTCCTTAATTCTGGTGTTAAAAATTCTGCCTTTTTGACCAATAGACGCCGCTTTTTTCTAGATCTGTGTGTGTGTGTGCGTGTGTGTGTGCGCGCGCGCGTGCGCGTGTGTATATAATTATGCGTTAGCGTTGTCTGCAGACGGATAGATATTTTGGCATTAATTGAGTTTTCAGTATCAGGGGCCCAGAAAACATAGATTCTTAGTACACCATGTGTTAAACAAATTTGTTCTATATTTAGCAACTGGATTAATTAACTTTTTCCTTACGAGGGCCCACGATAAGAGTTTTTGTGTTGAAAATTCTCCATTTTATGGCTCAGTATTACAATACTTTCTCTTGTTACTTCAGTAAATGGAAGAAAGTAAAATATGCAAATATAAGCCAATGTCATTTTAATTGTTGCATGTCCTGTGTGTTCTTCCAAAATATTCAAAATGTCAGATAGTTTAAAAATAATTTTTCATTGAGAATCAATTGCTTGAAATGTAGATAGAAGAAACGTAGTCATTGTAATATATTGTAATGATAAGTGTTCCCTGTGCATGGGATCCGAACTTCAGTCTTGAAGAGTGCAGTAATATGGCAGTAGGCAAATGTGGTTTCATTACGTAAGCAACACTAGAGAGGGGGGCACTGGGGACTACTTTCAGAAATCTTCAGGTTGTAAAAATTAATGAGCAGTGTTAAAATATGCATGAAACAACAAAACCTAAATATTATTATTTTTATTATTTACTTATTAATGGTGGCAGCCACAAACTGTTGTACATAAATTTTAAGAAAATAATTTTTTCCTGAATAAAAACATTAAAATGAACGTGTATTTTTCAGCGTTCGACAAGCACATGAATCTGATTTTGGGTGATTGTGAGGAGTTTCGCAAGATAAAGCCAAAGAACACGAAGCAGCCTGAGCGTGAAGAGAAGCGTGTGCTGGGCTTTGTGCTGCTCCGGGGGGAGAACATAGTGTCATTGACTGTAGAGGGCCCTCCGCCACCTGAGGAGGGACTGCCCCGTGTGCCTATTCCTGGAGCTGCCCCTGGCCCTGGCATGGGCAGGGCAGCAGGGCGAGGTGTGCCTGCTGGTGCCACAGGAGTGCCTGCAGGTAACGCTCTTAGAGAACATGTTGGTTGATGCATTTACCTGGTGAAGATGTCCAGAAGAAAGTTTCTGTAAACTTTCCAAGACATGACCTTTTTAATTTCCTGACAATATGCTTGTTTTGCCCAATAATTTACCTGTTTCATACTATTTATTGGCTATATATGGTACTAAAAAACAAAGAATAATATTTCCAGAAAAACATTCCAGCATATTCTCATAAGTACATAAAGGTGTCAACCTTTCCGGCATGAGAATGTTTGATACAGGGTTGCTAGCCTTTAATTGACAAATATGCCTCATTGTCATTCAGAAACATCATACTATAAAATGGAAATGGAAACATTTTTAGAACTTTTTTAAAATTTAGGCATGTAGTGTGGAATTGATTCAGGGGCAAGAGTTGGAGAAAGTCTTTCCTTCTTCAGAATTAAGTATGCCTTGTTTGAAATGAAAGTGGGTTCATTTTTGAAAGTCAAAGAGATGAAGGCATGATCTGTTATTTGTAGAGGAAAGGAGGGTTTTATGTTGTAATACAGCAAATTACTTCCATCCGCTTACTACCTTAATGGTTACAGGACTCCAAGGCCCAGTGCGGGGTGTGGGAGGACCTTCACAACAAGTAATGACCCCAGGTGGCCGTGGGGCTCCGCAGGTATCTGCGCCACCACAGATGCGTCCACAGCAGCCAGGCCCTCCACGAATGCCAGTTGGTGGACCTCCACCCGGAATGATGGGCCCCCCACCAGGCATGATGGGTAAGGATGATGGCGATCTGAGTTCCAAAATTGGTTGCAATAATTTTAAATATGCTAATAACCTTAATAGGATTATGAAAACGTGCTTTGAGAAGTTGCCACTGTTCTTTTTTTAAGTCAATTCTCCAAAATGACAGTGCAGCTTAAATTTGATTAACATTTATTTAAAGGATCAGTAAAATTAGATTGACAAATGTACAGTGCTATGTTATTTCAAATGTATAAAACATAATTACCTGTAATTCAGAATTATGGCATTTTTGTTTTACTTCAGTTCACAGAGAAGAAATTGAGCTCACATTCTTTCTTTGTGTTGCTCATTGCAACTAAATTAATTCCAGTACTACAATTCAAATTGTACAGTGCTTTTATTCCAATTTGTTCCTTGACTAGTGAATAATCAAGCTGCATGTATGTTATCCCCTCTGTTTAGAAAGTATTGTACATTTGTTTGCTCATGTCGTGTTGCAGGGATGCCACCTGGCATGGCAATGGGTCGTGGAGGGCCAATGGGACCTCCAATGCGTGGACCCCCACCAGGTACAATTTTCCCATTACTCTCCAAGAACGTAATTCCAGAGTAAAGTTCTTTCAGACATGAATACATATGTCATGAGTACGGCAAGGCTCAGGGTAAAAACTTCAGAAAGCCTTTTTCAATTTTTGATGTGATTTATTTTATTTAGTGAAATCTCAGTATAAAGTACATTATGAAATCATTTTATTTATATTTTGTACTGAAAAGTATTTTTACTGAAAACATTATTTAATTTATTAATTTAATTAATTTATTTTAAATAGTGTGCGCAATTCACAAAAATAATGACCAAAAAAATATTGCTCACTAGAATATTTTCTGATTGAAGTTTGTTTTGTCTTTGAGCAAGTTGCTTTCCACAAACTGTTCTACCACAAATGATGATTTGAGGACTGGCTGTGAAACGGTTATAATTTTCTGCACATGTACTACATTTAACCTCAAGACACTTTAGTGCCTCTGAAGACAGTTTCAATATTTTCTTCTACTTCTTCCTCTTAATCATTTTCTTGTGATGTAGTCAAAGATTCAACAATGTCACTCTGTGTGACTTATATCAGTGGTAGCATCAATATTGACATAATTGTCAAAGGTACAGATGATGTTCGTTCTCCTTTATAATTTCTCCCCAAGCCTCACAATAATCGTCACTAGCCTGGACCTGCGGCGAAACACTGTCTTGGAAATATGAAATTCCCAACTTTCTCCAACAATTAGTAATTTTTGATCGAGACTTTCAATCTAAGGTTGATTAGAATCTGCTGAACCAATCTTTTATGAATGTAGGCCTTTGCATTATGAATAATTCTCTGATATAGAGACTGCAGTTCAGAAGATATTTTCCAACCTGCAGTTCACTTTGAGTAGAGCAGTTGTCTACAAACTACGTGTGTGTTTGTTTGTGTGTTTGTTTGTGTGTGTGTGTGTGGTTTTTCTTTTTTTCTTCTTCTTCTTCCAATATCAAGAAGCCGTCTGCAAAATTATTTTTGGTGATACGCTTTGGCTGTATATTTTTCTGGCAGATGCCACACCTTTGAAACATCTAGCCTTTATGCAGTGTCCTTAGAACCATAGGCTTCAAGTGTTCAATACCAGTGGTATTACTACAAAATAATGCTTGTAATCTTTATTTTGTCTGTTTCCCCGCCAACATGCTTCTCTTCCTTTTTGAACATTGTTTTATTCGGCAACAAATTATTTAAAAAAATGCTATTTCTTGTGCATTGAACATATCTTTGGATCATAGTTTTCAATTAGATTTGTTTTATGTTCAACTCTCGAGCAGCATTCATGTCAGTATCTTTACCTTTCCCAACATCAGTCTTCTAAGTTACATTATATCGCTCTGAAAATGAAACAGCCTGCCAGCACTTGCCCAAACATCCTTGACATCCATCAGTGCTGCAAATTTTCTTGCTTTTTCTTGTATTATTGGTCCAGAAACAGGAACCCAAGACACCTAACTTCCTTAAACTATGTTTCTACTGCCTCTTCCATGAAAATCCCTTAAACGAATCTTCTTACTATCAGGGCATAATGCCAATTGTTTATACACTTTTAGTATGTTTTCATTGCTTTTTAAAATTGTTGAAATGGAAGTGGGGTAAGTCATATCTTCATGAATTAGATTGATGTGTAATATCAATATGTTATCCGATGCACATTGCATACAAAGGACATAACCTTAAAGGAAATATGTTACGAAATACATATTCCAGAAAATCTGCAGTCAAGAGAGGATTCAATATTATTATTATTATATTATTATTATTATTATTATTTAAATTAATTAATAATGCCATACATTTTTTCTACGTAATACTGAAATGTCCTAGTAGAGTGTTCATATTAAATTCTTGTATATTCGGGAGACACCGCTTCGCTGGCTGACAGGCCGACCTTTCGCCTGACATGTCGCAGGCTTCCTCAGGGCAGTGACTCACTGCCCTGAGGAAGCCTGCGACATGTCAGGTGAAACATTGGCCTCTCAGCCAACGATGCGGCGTCTCCCGGATAGCCAAGTATTTAAGGAATTTAGCTGCGCAAGCTTACGTGTGCATTAAAATAGGGATTTCAAATATGTACTAGAAACTGAAATGTACATAATACTGAGATTTTACTGTATTTTGTGAATGCAATGTGTTTGAATGATCTCTGGAACAGTAAAGCCTTATTTTTTTTGAAAAGCTGTTTGTTTTTTTGAATGTGAAATTTGAAGTACTTTTATAATATTGTTTTACTATTACAAATATAGTGAAACTTGTTCTTCTGGATTTAAAATGTGAAAAAAAGAAAGGTGAAGATAGAAAATTTGGAAGTGTGCTGCACAAAACTTTGATATTGGATGATTATAGTATTGGGGATAGCTCTGTCTGCAATCAGGCTAACTTGTGAAATACTTACTTGCACCTTAGCCTGACATTTTATCAAGATGAAATGAGTCATATGTGAAATATTTCTATATATGATTAATGGTTTTCTTCTTAAATATCTTGAAGATTAGTTGTAAAAATTAAAGTTCTCGAATTTTAATTGAGATACATTTACCTGTTTCTCAACTAAAACTACTATGAAAGTTAATGAGATTATTTTTTCAGGACCTCCCCGACCACCTTACTAAGTTCACAAGTTAGTGAGCTGTTGATTCAAAGCTTTTTCTTAAGAAAACATTTGGCTTTGTTGTTGATACAATTTTAATCAAGCCAAGCAGATTTTTGGACCCTTTCCAATTTTTATAATTGCTACAAATACAGATGTAACAAAGTGCTTGAATGAATGAAGGCGTGGATTTGTGTGTATGCATCAAGAAGACATTACTGTGTACCTATTGAAGTGGCAGGTTTGGGACTTCGGATGTATATTGTATATAAGGTATTGTTTTCATGCATCTGTTTAATAAATGAAATACCTCATTAGAATGTTTCTTTACTTTGCAAAATTAGAGGGGGCAAATGTTTATTAGGTAAATAGAAAGTATTTTTCAAAGGTTGAGAAATTTATGGATCTAGATCATGTTTTGCTGTGTGAGAGGTAGTATCTGCATGTTTTGTAATTGCTGTCCCACTTATTTTCTAATTCTAACTTTATTATTAATTTGAATATTAATTGAAAAGTAATACTGTGGTCACAGGGTAAGCTTTCTTAAGTGAATTGTTAGAAATGTACCAAGTTGCCCCAGAATTGCTCACAATGTATTCAACATGTAATAGTTTTCAAAATGTAATGAAATGACAGACCATTATAAACCCAATAAAACAAATGGACATGTGAATGGAAGGATGTATCTACTTGACCAAATAAAAACTTGTATTAGATGCATTATTAAAAGAATATGTGATTGTTCAACAAAATCAATGAAAATAATATTATGAACAGTGTTATGGCTTGTAAGAAAAATTGTTAGAGCAAATAATATAATAAGAGTAAAGGTGAGAAAGATGCAAACAAACTTAATTTGTGTAAGAAATATAAGTGACTAAAACTGGAAAAAAACATTGAAAATTAAATTTAAAAAATGGGCCAACCTAGATTTTTAAAAGGAAATAGATTGAAGACACCTGTCTCAATTTCCATTACCATGAAGCCAATACTCTAGTTCTCATTGGACAATACAACTAGTGAAAAGGTGAACATTGTGTATGTAACTATTTTATATAAAATGCAACTATGAATATAAATAATAAAGAACTTTCGTATAATAAGGTTCTTTAATTTTTGTGTATGTAATTAATTTTTCAAGCAAATAATTACAATTTTTGCCATGTCTCATGTACTTTGAATCTGGAAAGAATTGGAAGTCCAATTTTTAAAAAATCGAATCTCGAAAATGAAAGTATTATTAGATACCAATATTCTTTTTTTTAAAAAAAATAAACTTACAAATATTCATCACTATTATATCTAGCTAGACTTGTGCAAACATATTCCATACTTATGTTTCAAAAAAGGGCAAATGCCTTCACATTGGACCCCAATTTTTAATGACCAGGTCTAAACAATGAGCTGCATTGTGTTGGCTTGTTACTGTGTATGGATAAGCCTTCAAATATTGCTTAGATGTTATCTTGAAGCAGAAACATTTTGAACTAAGTAATTAAATTACAAAATTTTCAAATTAATTGTTGCTTAGGTTTCAAGATCTGTATGTATCTGACAACTTGTTAAGGGTCAAAAGGTCTAAACTTGCACAAAGGTCTTTTATAGCCTAAGAAGCTTAACTTAGATACCAATAAAAATTGGTTTTAAAGGTGTAGAATGTACTGTATCATATTTACACTTGATCAATGTGTTTAGGGGACAATTTTGTTGCATGTAGTGTGTGCTAACTTCAATAATTGTTTTGACGTACATTTTTCATCTAAAATCTTCAACCATTTCATTGCTGTGGACCCCACCCAGCATGTCACAACCTATGCTGATGGCCAGCAACTGCTGTGTGTGGGACATTTTTCTGGTTCCGAAGTGCACACACTGGCAGAGTATGGTGGCGCCAAAAGACAGTCACGCTTATGTTCTATTATTCTTTTTTAATATGGACTTTAAGACGATACTGGTGAAGTTAGAAACATATATCTTTGTGTGTGTTTTTTTTAAATTTGTTTTCATTTTCAAATATTTTTATGCTTTTGAAATAAGTGAGATCTTTCTTCGTGAAATGTATTTTAAAACAGTCTAACACGAGGACCTCAAACATTTTTTGAACTTTTTATTATTATTGGGAATTTAGATATTCATTTGTGTGTGTTACACTTCAAAACATGGTGTAACACTCAGTCCCACATTACATTCCTCACAAAAGAATAGTCACTCACAACGAATAATAAAATCGACGATCATTTCTCTTTCACAATCGCACAGCACCAAGAGTTTGATTCCTAATCTGCTTAATTCTGAAGGGATATACTGATTGAAAAACAGCCATCCTTTGAACAAAATTGAGCATTCTTCAACGCGCAACTTCCGAATGGAGGAAATGAGCTTACAAATCTCCAGCCAATGACATCTAAATCTCTTATTTTGTAAAGACGATCGACTCCGTCATACATTGTTGTCACTAAAATAAAGAATTCTCAGTGTAAACAAAAACCTACCTTGACATTATCGCCCTGAAAATAAGTGTCAAGTATTCGTTTAGCAAGGGTTTTTTATATTCTTCACATCACAAAAAAAACATACATTTCACCAGAAGACTTATCACTTCATTTTGCAAGTTGTGAATGATATTTTCCAGTGATTTGCAGTGCATTTTAATAGAATTCCTTACTTTATTAACAGTGAATGGTATTTAAAATTCCATGAAAAAACAAGAAGTCCCAAATGGATTTCACTTCATTGAGCCCTGTTTTGTCCACAAAAGCAGCAGATATTTGTATTATGCATATAAATAAGAACAAACTTTCAGCATAAATCGTAACACAAAGTAAGAGTAGTACTTCATACCCCAAAACCCCCAATGGGTGGCGAGGACTGACGCCTGGCAGTCTATCAGTTAACAAACCTTTCAACTCGATGCAAGAATAATTTTCATTTCGGCACACTTTCGGAACTTTCAAACTAAACTTCAAACCCTTATAAAACAGATATCCCCACCTGTCCTTCAAGCCCTCAGCCATTCAGAAGATAGTGAAAGACAGATACACTAAGTACAAGACACCTAAAGGCAGCATTATCGCAGCAGAGGCGACTCCTGGCGAATGTCTAAAGGTGGCATTAGCACATGAGGCATGAAAAATCCGGATGCCTATTGGCGTCATTAGTAGCAAAAGGGTTAAAATACAAATCTAAGGAGTAAAACCCTATCAAGCAATATCAAATACTTTCTCACGTAGTATAAAGTAATATAATGCTGCAGTGAAAAAGTGATTATTTCAATAACTTATGTGGGTCCCTGACATTGAAAAAGTGGATAATTCTTTTTCCTGTAAGTAGTAAATTACTCCATATTCTGTGGTAAGAATCCACATTTTATGAGACCCTGAACATCATTTGCCTAAACTGTTTAGGATTTTCACAAAAATTGGTATTCCCTCTTGTCACATTCAATTCAAAATTGTACATTTTTGAGTACTTTCCTGAAAACCCTAAAATGTTTTTTGTTTCGTTTTTTAATTGCTTCAATTTTATTTTTTTATTTTCAAATAGAGCTAAGTACACTTATAAAAACGGTGCTGGCTCAATTTTTGTTAACCTCTCTGCATTTTCAAAAACTGCTAAAATTCTTGTTTTTGTTTTAGCGTCTAGTACAATTTTGAAGATATTTTCGTAATATAATCTGTGCTTCAAAATTAGATTCTTAATAATGTGTAAAGATTTTTCCAAAATAGAGTAGTTTTCTTGCATTTCCTTAAATCATTGAACAGTTTCTTAAATTTTCTATGAGAACTTGTCTGATTTTCATTAAAATCTTCCAAGATTGTTAATGTTCAACTTCCTTTTTAAAACAATGGGAAGGTTGTTATGCTGACTCATGCTGTTCATGTTGTAAATTTATTCTTATTTACCTTATTATAATCAGAGCTGGAATCTTCGCATGGAAAAACATTTTTGCAGTTGAAAACTATTTTACAGGTTCGAGTAGTATTATATTACATCATTATTTGCAAATAACAAGAACTTCCATATTATAGCACCACTTTTTTCTTTCTTACTTACTATTCATGTGAAAGTATTGTAATGCAGCAGTAAAAAATGATGATTATTTTTCACAGAGAAGTTCTTATTTATTGTTTCCAAAAATAAGTTAATTAATAAATTATGTATTGATTCCAAAAAAGTGAATTATTTTTGTTCCTATGAGTAGTACATTACTTCCTCTAATACATTTTTTTGTCAGAATCCATGATTTGTGGTACCTAAATAACGAAAGATTGGTTTACATCTAAATGTCTGTTTCAATGACTAGTGACTAAACCATAATCAGAATCTTCACCGAAATTTATATTCTCCAATCGATCTGGCTAAGGTTCCAGTCTCTTGAATTTGAAACTGATATTTTGATTTATGGGATACTGCTCATAAAGCCTCAACATTTTTGAAATTTTCTCAAACTTTTTTCTTCGTCTTCTTCTTTTCTGCTCATAGCTTTTCCTCCAAAATTGGTATTGCTGTATCGATCTGGCCCTGCATATTATCACTGTTATCTTCCATGACTTTTCCACTGCCTTCGACACCATAATTCATGGCATTCATTCAATTAATTTATAAAATCAACCCACACATCCCCCACTTCCTTCTTCCACGACTTAAAAACTACCTGACCAACCGTACTTTCATCAACCACGTAAATTCCTCTTCCACTTCCAGACCCATTCTCGCCACCGTACCACAAGGGCCACTTCTACCACTGGCAAGGGGCAGTTAATGTGTCATTTACTAAACAGTGAAACAAAGAATAGACAAAGCATTAAAAAACAACCACTTCACAACCTTCATACAATCCCGACAGCACCAAGTCCTCACAAACCCTCCCATTCATACCAGAATATATCGCCATCCATTTAATATTTACAGCTTCCACCACCCAGAACGTAACTCCACCACTCACCCTCCGAAATCGGCAACAATACCACTTGACAAAGTACACCCTCAATAAAAGAACCCTTCCAAATTCAGTCTTTCCCCTTCCTTTTCGCCATCAGTTTTGTCCATCTCTCTGAACAACAGATATACACCAGCTAAGACAAATGTTCAAAACAGAATTTCTGAGAAGCCTATTCGATTTCTTTTCGAAACCTATTCGGTTTTTCAGAAGATTCTTTGAAATCGTCCCATTGTTGTCGGTCATGATGATTGTATAATGTAGATAATATTTTTATGAAAGGAAGTAGATTGAAGGAAGGTAATAAATTTTAACTTAGTACTAACAAGTACCCTCCTCTACTATAAGAAGTTTTAATCAGTGGTTATGGTATTAAAAGTATTCCAATTTAACCAAGGTAGGCTTACGTGAAATTATGTTTTGTAAACTGTACCTTCATTTATGCTCTTTTCATTTCTAAAAGTAAGAAATGACTTCTCTTACTGACAATAGAAACAAATGCAGATGAACCCGAGAGGTGATTCATTTGAATTAGACTTCTATTCTTTCCTGTATACATACGGAGTATTATACGTATAATGGTATAGGGAAAGTTTTATAATGCCGCTCAAAAAAAAACTGATTTTCGGCAGAAAAAAATTAATAGCCGGACCCTGATAATGAAAAAGTGGAAAAATTCAGTTGCTTAATTAAGAAAAAAATTTAACATGTGATGTAACCAGAATCCCTATTTCGTGGGTCCTTGATACCGAAAAAACGATTGACTGCAAAACGTCTGCCTGCCAGTCTGTGAACACCACTGGCACCTAAACTGTACTTTCGAGTTTTTCCAAAATGGATATTCCCAGGTCAATATGATTCCAGGCAAAGGCATCTCAATTTTGAAAAACTTTCTTTAAAATTGGTGATACTTTACATGAAGCCTCACAGACACTTTCAAAATATTCTAAAACAGCTTCAAATCTTTTCTTTAAATGTAAGTAATAATAATTAAACGTAAGTATAGACTAAAATACGCTTATAAAGGTGGCATAGGTCTGAATTTTACGGTTAATTCTGAAATTGCAAAAGTTTGAATTTTTTGTGCAGCGTGTTCTACTACTATAAAATTGAAGATAGATTTTCCCTTCAAATTAAAATTATTCTCCAGAGATTCTTCTTTCATTAAGATTTTTTTTTTTTTTATTCAGTTTTCGCGCAATATAGTGAGCAATATGTACAATTTTAAAATATTACAAAAATCAGATTTTTTCAAAAATGGCTCCAAATTTTCTCTATAATACCTTTAATACCTAGTACTAAATACACTCTATACAATGACATAAAAGCCATATTGCTGTATTCTTTTGTTTTTCAAAAATTACAAATGTGATTTTTGAACTTGCCTCTGATATAGTTAGTATTTACGTTAACAGTAATTTGTTCACACTAATTTATTTATGAGTACATGTGCTTTAAATAATGTCAGATAAAGATTCACGAAAATTCAGCTGTTTTCTGTTAAAATTAGCTCAAAATTCTGCATTTTCAGAAACCCTCAAACACCATTTTCTCATATACGGAATAATATGAGTAGTAAATAGTAAGTAGAATATAAGGAGGGAAAGTTTTGTAATGCTATGGATAATCAATTCAAGATTTCAGTAGAAATATACATTTTGGGGTGGCCTAAAAGAAAAAGTGTTTTGTTCAAAATGTCCATCTGTCGGTGAATGTTACTAGTGCTTAAACCATGCATAGGATTTTTTCCAAATTGAAGAAACACCTTCAGAGCAAGGCTTTGAGATTTTGAAAAACGTTCTTCAAAATTTGGGGGTACTTTATGAACATACATGAAGCCCCCAGGCATTTTCACAATGGTTTCATAAACTGCTCCAAATTTTTTCTTCGAAATTATGGAAAATGTGGAGTAAAATACTTATGTCTGATTTTCAAGATTACTTTTGAATACTCGAAATATTTCAACGTTTTTAATCACAAATTTGAAAACAATTTTTCCTTCAAATAAAATTTGTTCCACATAGTGAGTTCTTTCATGTAGGTCATGCACAATTTTTTTTTGGAAATTTTAGTAATTTTTGTGTGATATTGCTTGCAATATGTTCAAAATAACAAAAACAAAATTTGCTCAAAAAATGGCATCAAATTTCTTCATCCTTTTGGTTGTACTAAATGCACTCTATAAGATGATATAAAAGCATTTTCCACCATTATTTTGTTTTTTCAAAAATTGCAAAAATATAATTTTTTCGTCTTTGCCTCTCACATTGTTAATATTTACATTAGCTGTGATTTGTTCGCGTGTGATATTTACGAGTGTACTTGATTGAAATAATGTCATAAATGTTGCTCAAAACCTCGACAGTTTTCTCTAAAAACCATCTCAAAATTCCTCAATTTCACAAAAGCTCAACCTCCATTTTCCCAAAAATTGCCCCAAATTTTTTCTTCAAACTTTCGAGTGCATAGTGCTAATTACACTCTTTAATGTAACATAAAGTCCGTTTTGGGGGTACTGTTTTTGTTTTTCTTTTTTTAATTACACAAATGTAATTTTTTTGAAATATCTCTCATGCTGTTAGCAGCAATTTGTAAACACTATAGTATTTGTGAGCTAAGTACTTGAAATGTCTTAGAATGAAGTTTTTTGAAAATAAAATATTCTGTGACAAGCTTCAAATTTCGCATTTATAGTAGATATTAAACGTCATTTTATTAAAAACAGCTCCAAATTTCTCAGAGCAAATTGTCTTTTGGGACGAGGTTTTACAGGTCTTTAATATTCTTAAAATAATATTTACATTCTACAATTAGGAAACCAAAAAAGTAAGAATAATTCAAAAGAAGGTACTTTGGGGGGCTATAGATGGCAGCTGGCAAGCCCCAATAGCTAGCCAAGGGCA